ATCTAGAAGGATACGCAGCCAAATGTTAAAATTATAGGTGATTTAAATATCATTTTTCTTTATACTCATCTGTATTTTTCTTGTTTAAAAATGCAATTGATTCATTTAACTAATGTATATTGAGTGACTATAATGTGCCAGCATTTTCTTAAGAGCTGGATGACAAGTATATACTGTTTTATAACTAACCGATGCCTCATTTCACAGCTAACATGCTGACAATCTTGAGAGAAGAAATGACCTGCCCAAGGTCACAAAATCAGCCCACACAGCTCCTGAAGCCCAGCCTGGAGCCTCGGACAAGCAACAGAAAAGGGTATTTGATTTGCAACCAAGGTTTCTGAAGCACAGCTCTTCCACAAGTTGCGGAAAGCTCTATAAATACAACCGTAAATGTGTGGTGTGCTTAATCACATGCCTTGCACTGCCTTGTAAGTCATCACCACGATGGCATTTTACCAAAAATTTCAAAGCAAAATGTAATTTCCTTTCTCAATAATTTTGAGAACTTTTCATCCTTTACAATAAAGACAAAAGAAAAAAAGAAAAATGTGTTGCGTGGTTTCCCAGATTTTGAAAAGATGTTTCTCCTGCCAGCTACTGACACTACCCAGGTTTTTAATGCAATTCCACTCACTCTGACCTGCGTATACCTATGAATATAAATTTATGTATATTTGAACACTTACCAAACTCTTATAATTCGTTCTCTTATCACAGGATGTAGTAAAAGCAAAGTCACAATTCTTCCAAATTTATTAAATTCATACCACCCATTGAATAAAAAATTCCATTGTCCTTCCTCATAGTTAATTGAGTTATCTGAAGACCACTACACATCTGGTATAGACCAATAAAATGAAATATGATTTCTTTAAAGCAGAAAATTATTTCCATTAGTTACTTCAGAAAGCTTTTACCTGTAATTAAGTTAATCAATTATAGGCTTTAATCCAATCTCTGACATGAATTAGATTTACAAAATAAATAACCTTTATTTAACCTATATTCATTTTTAAAATTGAGTCCCATCACAATCTAGTGATCGATAGAGTACCACGAACAATATCCTTTTCTATTTGTCAGATATTATGAATGATCAGCCTGCTGGATTTAGAATGCAAACAGCTATTGGCCTAACCTTTTGGGGCCCATCTCCTGAAAGCATAATATATCATTTTTACTTTATGTTTTTTTCCATACTTAAGGTTCATTTCTGTACCCTTACAGATGATGTGGCTATAAATGTATGTATTATACAAATGCCTTATAAACCTAATACCTGCAGTGTATATTTATTTTGATAACCTTAACTGCCTCCAGCTTTAGGAAAGTGAAGAGCTACTGTCTTTTCTAAAGATGACTCTGCTCCATTTTTGAGAAAAGTTGCCTTGCATTAGCATGCAACTTACATGGCTTTGTCATCTATCACTTGCTACCCTGACAAATCTGAATATTAGATGTTTTTTCAAAAGAATAGACACTAATAGGTAACAGCTTTAGCGATGGGGTCAGGCAGTACTGAATCTAAAGAGTCACTCGATCAATTACAGCCCTAGATGTACAACCTTAAGCAGGTTACTTAAGCTTCAATTTCCTCAATTGTAAAAAAGTAGATAATGATATCTAGGATTTTTGGAAGATAATGCACAACTTAGGGCAGTGCCTGGCATGTGCTTGATAAAATAGATGTACTAATAAGAAGATGTTTTTCAAGTTTAACATATCATACAACCAGTATTTACAAAAGGCCTATCTCTGTCTCTAGCTCCCCAGAAGGAACACCCACCAACATTGCTTTGGGGATTATTGTGAAGGCCAGGAAAGAATACAACATAACTCTCTAATGCCTTCTTCCAGAACTCAAGCAATACTGTAATGTTCATGTTTATCTATATTTCCCCATCTGGTTCACTTTATGAAGCCTCAGCTGTTTCTGGGGATGGGAGTGGTTATCTCTTGGGATCCAACCTACTGATTCTGAAGTAGACTTTTGCAACACAGCCCCTTTGCGAGTACTGTTTAATATTCAACAGTAATTTGGTATTTGCTAAACCTTTGACCTTAATATCTCTGACCATATCATTTTCTGCTTAAGATCCTAAGCTCATGAAGCACTTGTTTTTGTTTAATGTTTTTGCAACCTTTAAGTACAGAAATGCTTAGAGAATCAGCTGGTGGATAAGTTATTTGAGATGTTGACAACAGACTCATATGGGAGAATGTAGCTCCCATAAGGACCTACATTCTCAGCTAAGAATTCTAAATCTCTCTAAATTAGAATCTCTCTAAACTAGAATGCCAGAATGGCTAAAGAACAGAGAGAAGACCAAGAACCCCTTCCCAGGAGCTTGCAGCATGCAATCTCGAGGAAGAGAGGGAATGCCCCTCCCCCACATAATTCCAGTTCCTCTTCTTTGCTGCTTCATCTGGAACCCTGATGGCAGAAAGAGAATGAAAGCTACTGCTCAGCTCTAAGAAGGAGGATGATGCTAGTGGGCAACTCATGGTCAGCAATAGCAGCTCCCCACCTCGCAGATGGGCGTGTTCAATGGGATGCCCTGCCGTCAGCAAAGCACTTTCTTAATGATAAGTCTGTGAAAACAGAAAGGGCTTGCACTATAACTGAAAACTGCAAGTTATGACATTTTAAATACAGGTATACACATACACATACACATACACATAGACACATGCACAATATGATCTCAATTATGTAAAATAGAGTATGTTAAAAAGCATAAAGGCAATAATGAAAACAATGGCTGTCACTGAGAAGGAGAGTATTATTAATATTTTTCTTTTTTTTACTTTCCTATTATTTTTCCAATTGCTTCCTATAGTCATATATTGCTTAGATAGCTAAAAAATTATTTTAAATATAAAAACAAGTTCATTTAAATTCAATGCATATTACTTTTTTAGCAAAAGGGAAAAATGAATAATCAAAACAAAGTTTGCTAATTTTCAAAGCAGACAATGATCTGTCCTACAAAATACTTTATTGACATAATGATAAAGGTTGATAATTAGTAACCAGGGAGAAGCTTTCCAAATGGCGATTTGAGCAGCCTGCCCAGATCCTTTTCTCCGGGTCAAATCTACCTGCCTTTCTTTTTTTCTGTTAAACATTTCAGTCAATCATAGAGGACTGGGGAACATGGAGAGGGGGAGGTGTAAGGAGAGCAAAACTGTCAGAAAACAGTATGTGAAAGAAGCGGCTATCATCAAAACTGCTCTGAAAGACTGTCGGGCTGTCCATAGTAACATGGGAAGAGAAAGACAGAGAGAGAGAGGAGTGGAGGGGGTCAGGGGAGTGAAAAAGGGAGGGAGAGATGGAGAGGGAGGTAGGAAGAAAGCCTACTATATGCTGGACTTAATAGCCTGACTTGTTTCACACATCAAGGTGTGGTCCAAGTGAAAAGCTGAGGCCTTGAGGATATCGATACATCTTCACTTTGGAAGATGCCATTTCTCTCAAAGTAGCTCAAAACACAAGACTCAGGAGGGTGTGGGTTTTACTTTAGCCCAAGTGTTGAGAGCAGAATTTTTACACTTTTTTCCTGTAAAGCTTCTCTGTTAGTCTCTTGATCTTGTGTTGAGAAGCTTTGGGGAAATGTTGCAGGTGTGTCCAATCTTTTGGCGTCTCTTGTCTTGGACCATACATAAAATATAGTAACACTGGCTCACACCTGTAATCCCAGTACTTTGGGAGGCCAAGGCAGGTGGATCATGAGGTAAAGAGATCAAGACCATCATGGCCAACACAGTGAAACCCCGTCTCTACTAAAAGAACAAAATTAGCTGGGCATGCTGGCACAGGCCTGTAGTCCCAGCCACTTGGGAAGCTGAGGCAGGAGAATCGCTTGAACCTGAAGGAAGGCAGAGGTTGTAGTGAGCTAAGATCATGCCACTACACTCCAGACTGGCGACAGAGTAAGATTCCATCTATAAATAAATAAATATATATATATACATATATGTGTATATGTGTGTGTGTGTGTGTATGCTAATACTAAGGACAGCTGATGAACTGATGAACTAAGAAATTAAAATTACAAAAATATCTCATAATGTTTTCAGAAAGTTTTTGAATTTTTGTTGGGCTGCTTTCAAAGCCATTCTGGGCTGTAGGTTGGACAAGTTTGGTTTAAGTTTCTTTCATTGACCCAAACTTCTAGGCCTTTGTGTCTGGAGAACCCAAGCCTACCTCCACCTGGGGAGTGGTGATCTGACTGCCCTCCTGCAACGTTAGTAAAACTATGGGTACCCCAGTAGCAAGAACGTTGTGTCCCAGGGCAAGTGGGATGGAGAAGAGATACGGCGAGGCTGCCTTGGAGTGTATGAGTGTATGAGTGTTGGGAGATCATTTCCGGAATAATTTCTCTTCTAAACCCTGGTCAGAGCTATATTTTTTCTACTGGGAGTGTAAGTAGGAGCAGAGGGCAGGGGACGGGAACGTGCACACAGTGGGCATCTAGCCCACCCAGACACATCATCAGCTACACTGCTCACTTTGAGTCAAGGCTGTAACTACCAGGTGAATGGATTTTTCATTTGGCTTTGGCTGGGGATGAAGGATGGGTGGAAATGGTTGGGAGAAATGGCTGGGAGTGCCTACTTTAAAACAAAGATTCTAAAGACGGTATGGAAGAGTTGCGACTTCTACAGAACACCAATCAAAACGGGGTGGAGGAGGGATTTGAGGAGTAAGCAGTATAGGGAAATCAGGGTAAGGGGATGGCATTAAAGAAATTAGCCAAAGGGAGGAGTCTGGGGCTTCTGGTTGAGCCAAGGCTGCTGGGCTGCTGCCGAGAAGGGGCGCCAAGAAAGGACCCCGGCCAGAAGATTGAATCCCCTCTGACACCCGCAGGGGCTGCGCTCTTTCCCACCCAGCCCCTCCGGGCAGCGCTGCGCGAGGCGGTCCGGCTGGGGTGCCCGGGACGGCTGGGGAGGCTGCCCGAGGCTCCGTGGGTGCAGCGGGGCGGGCACCTTGGTACCTTGGTGCCCTGGTGGAAGTCGTCGATGGACCGCGAGCCCATGAAGGGGAACTGCAGGTGCGTGTGCGTGTCGATGCCTCCGGGCAGGACCAGCTTGCCGGCGGCGTCGAGGACCCGCAGCCCCGCGGGCGCTTCCCCGGGAGGCAGCAGGTCGTGCCCGAGCGCCCGCACCACGCCGTCCTCCACCAGCACGTCGGCCACCTCGGAGAAGTTGTCGTTGACCACTCGACCCCCGCGGATCAGGAGCCGCGACGGTGCCGCCATGGAGAGGGGCGCGCGGGGTCCTACGGAGTCGGGCTGCGCGTAGGGGCTGGGCTGGAAGGACTGGGGTGCCCTCCTGCAAGGTCCCCACCGATGGCCCCGGAGCTCCGGCTCGGACAGCAAATCCCCAGCCCAGGGGCCTGGCCGGTTTCTGACCTGGCCGCAGGGGCGGCTCCTCCCCCGGGAAGGCTGGGCTGGAGCCCCAAAGGCCAGGAATGAACAGGTCCGCGGGGTCCTCGCACACTCAGACCCCAGGTGTTCTGCGCCCTGAGTCTAGTTATTCACCCGGGGTTTCGGAGTCATTGGAAGGGAAAGATCTTGGAGTTTTAAGAGAAAGGGACGTGCGTTTTCTATCATAAGATTAGGCTCTTAAAGGGAAAGAAATGCACTGCACCCTTTCCCGTGGTTGGGGGTGTGTTTGTACCAAAAGACGGACCCCGAGAAAGAAATAAAGAACCATCACCAAAAGCAGCAACAAAAATACCCAAACCCACCCAAGCCAGAACAGAGTCACTCATCTGGGTTTGCTTTCAAACGTTCTTAAGTGAGGAGCAAACCATATAATCCCAGTAATTGGCAGACACAAGGAAAGATCAGAGTGAAGTATTGAATCTATTTGAAAGAAAACAACTTAATATCAACTACTGTTCACGTTTTAATGACAGAATACATACCAACAAGTTTTTATTGGAAAATAGTCGGTACTGTAACTCAAAGATCTAAGTTCCTACTCCCAGTTTTTCCACAAAATCAGCTTAGAGATCTTCAGTAAAATCTTTTATTCTCTTGATTCCTCAGTTTTCTCATATATAAAACTGAGTAATACTTGTTGTTATCTCCCAGATTTGTTTTGAGAAGCAAATACAATAATGGATGTGAATACACCTTAAGAAAGTGGGAAGCGCCAGGCAAATTCACTTAACGAATACTGGCTTTGTAAGGACTACAAAGCTTACCTGACTAGGGGGATTGGCTAGAGGGCTAAGTGAGAAAGATAAACCACATTTCCACTCTCAAGTAGCTAAAAGCCAATAGTGACACACATACATATTTCAATATATAAAACAGAAAATTCTATCTTTGAGAGGGATAAAGATAAGAATTTAGAGGAAAGAGTGAGTTTATTTCTGGCTTAAAGAAAATCAAATATGGAAGATTTGTGAAGCAGTATTTGAACTAGGATACAGAGGATGTGAACACACAGAGGTGAGTGGTGGGAAGAGGACAGGCAGAGGGAACAGAAGGCTTAACGGCACAGAGCGGGTGAAGGAATGCACTCCCTGTGGGTAGGCTAAGAGGGATAGGCTTACACTGACCCCTGGACCATCCCTTCACTTATGGAGGAGGAGGAGGAAGAAAGGCAGAGTGTTCAGAGAGATGGTCTGTGTGACGGAAGGCAAGAATGCAGAATTTCAAGAAGGGCAACAGGATGGAATCTTGCAGAAGGGTTATGAGGGGTTTTGGGGGTGGGGTGGGATGGACATCTGCTGACCAGTATGTATTCTCATTCTTATTCTGGGGACAGTCACTGTTGTTTCTTCGGTGGGAAATCCTCTGCCTGCCGTCTCAGGACACTTGTCTTTGGAGGAACTAATGGGACCTCTGGCTGGGTGACTGAGCTCTCACCTAGCCTCTTCCAATCATAGCAGGGAATCCTTAAGCCACAGTGACGGTACAGGGATGGGCACATGCTCCAAGCTGACTTCCCAGGCCCAGGGAGTGAGTGCAGATCCCAAGACTTTTTAGGCTGAGCAGATAACAGGCTTGTTCTTTCCTCTTGGTCTTAAATCCTAGGGAGTGTAAACAAGGGGCTTTTGGGAGCCTTCTAGACAACACAGAGAAAGAGCCTTTCTGTAAGCAGAGCCAACACCAAGAACAGGAAGTAGAGATGTAGAGAAGCTGGGCTTCGATGACATTGCTTGAGTTCCTGAATCCAACTATGCTTAAAGCCCTCTCCCCTAGACTTTCCATGTTTTGCTTAAGCTGGTTTATTTTGAGTCTTTTGTCACTTGCAAGGTCAAATGACAGACACTGGGAAGATGTCTTCTTCAGGTTTTGAGACAAGGTGGTCACATGTGATCTCAGAGGTGGCATTTTCAATAGTGGAATGCAAGATATTTTTATTGCCAAATTTCCTAAAGCTTCAGCTTACACAAACCTCAAAATAATTAAAAAATTAGAAAGCATCAATAATTTAAAGCTCCATAGATTTGGCTGTCAAGCCAGGAACAAGAAACCCAAGGAGGTTTTGCAATTATTGTCAAGGGACCTTTGTGTAAAGGTGAAAGGGGTAATTATAAACATAATGAAATTTCTACAAGCTGTACAAGTAAGCACCACCTTAGGAAAATAAGATTGGATGTCCATGGAGTTGTGCCATCCTTTCGGAAACTGTCCAGATTAATGATTTCAAAGGTTCCTTTTATCTTAGACACTTTACATGATGAAATGCCCTGTAACACAACACAGAACAAACTTTCAACATTTAATTAACTCAAACATTTATCAAAAAAGGAGTCTTGTAGAATGTCACCAGAGTGGGAGGAAATGGCTCACCAAGATTCACTGACAGCAATAAAAGATCAGGGGGTAGTTTCAGGGAGAAATGCTAGCTCACAGAACAGAAGGGGCTTTGCTTGTTTCTGGCCATCATTGCCACACACTAGCTTGCAGGGCAGGTGGCTGAGCCTGGACAAACCTGCTCCGTGGGGGAAGCTTGTTCTCAGCACACTCTAACCTTCATTTTCTTTGTTCTACCCAGGCACTTCCTTACCCAGGCACTCCAGGCCCTCAGAAGGCAGTAAACAAGAATTAGGGGACACAGTGTTGGCATTGGTAGAGAGGTGGGACACAGAGCTCCTGCTGTTCTTCATTCTTCTTGCTGGGGAGAGTCAATTGCATTGACGAACATATGAAGCATGTCTGAGAACACATTACTCCTCAGAGGAATAGTTTTAAAGAAGCATTTTACAGGATGGTTACAAAGATTGTCAACGTTTAACCCATGAAAACACATCTGTCTGGAAGTGTAGGTGAGGATGATTTCTCAGGAAGAGCCTCCATGCCTGCTTGATGGTCTACAGGGACAGAAAGCCTGGAGAAGGTGACTTCCTTCACCGAGTGGTTGAGATTTTCAGAAACAAGTCCACCAAGCTCAGTCGTATCTCAGGCTTCAGCTACCCTGGAGGTGACGGGTTTGCTTTCCCTTTTGTCCTGACCTTCCCCACTCCTACTAGAGGTTCCTGTGGCCAGGAGAGGTTTTTAGGCTGCTGTTTCCACCTGACGGAAGAGTATTCTGGGGTGCAGGAAAGGAATGGTGAGGATGGGTAAGTGAGACTGAGCAAGGAGAGTTGGGCATCCCAAAGCAGTGTGCGTGCACCAGCGTCTCTGGAAACTCCATTCCCTGGACAACTGAGAGAGAGAATTCCCTGGCAGGGTAATGTGTTTATACTTGAATCAATGATGAAAGTGGGAGTTGGGAAAGGTAGATGGCATGGAAAGGGTGGAAGAAAACTGAATAAGGAAATAGTAATCTAATCTAATAGTAATCTAATCTAATGCCGGCTTCTGCTGTGAGCTTGGGCAAGTCACGTAATGCTCAGGGTCGCCGCCTCCTTCCCAGCTAGGTTGACAAAATCTTGCAAGACCCACCCTCCCCACTTTTATAATTTTATGATTCTGTAGATGGAGAGTGCCTGGTGTAGTCCTAGAATGACACACTTTCCAGATTTAGATGAGCGAACTGGGAACCAAGTAACACTTGCCTTCTACATTCAGAACTATTTTATTTCTGGTCCTTCCACTGGGGCCAAAGGGGATGTCTTGGAAAGGACCTACATACAGAGTGTAAAACCTACAGTCACAGGGAGAGGGTGGTGATGCTTGGTGGGGCTGGTTTTAAAGTACTCGGACTGAAGAGCAGGTAGGACATTTTAATTGCTGCTCAGAATTAACATGCATGATAGGCAGGGATGGTCACCCCTGACTCTGGGAGGGCATAGAGAAAGCTGGCCCACTACACAACTCCAGTTGGTACTGTCCCTGAAGCACCACTCCTGGGCAGAAGGAGAAAAGAGGTGCTCCACATAATGGTACCAGCAACCGTAGCCAAGATTTGTCCAGCACTGACGTTAAGTTAGTACTGGGCCAAGATTTTTTATGTGCATTATTTTACTTAATCCTCACAATTTTTGAGCTAAGAAATGTTTTTCTCTTTAACAGGTGAGCCTTTTAAGGTCAAATGATTTGCCTAAGTTCGCATGGCAGTCAATGCTGGAGGCAAGGCTTTCCTTCTGGAGCCTGTAATTTACCATTATGCAACTCCACAGCCCAAAGCCAAGTCCAAATCCTGCCTGCACCTGAGCCACAGATTATGCAAGTGAGTCAGTGATGATCTAGGAATGAAATCTGACATCGTGGACATCATCTTCAGACCTCTATCACTTCTATCTGCTGCTTCCAAGCTGGTTCATTTAGTCATCTCAATATTGTAGAGCCAGTCTATGTATTGGCTCAGATGACCAATGTCATCAGTGCTCAAAAAATTATAAAGCAGGCCTTTTTGTAATAAATTAACAAATTTGGTGGGACCAGACTCAACACACCAACACTGAACTGCCTGGTGGAAGAACTTTCAGATATGCTGTTGTGTAACTCCAAGAAATTCAAGGAAATACTTATTTCAAAGTTCCTATTTCTAATACTGTCTGGTATTACATGGTAGTGGTATTATTTTTTTGGTTGCTTGCTTGTTTTTTGTTAAAGATATTATGATGCTAACCAGGCAGTTTCAAACATATCCTGGAGAAGCTGGCTCTAACAGCGTACAGTAAGTCCTCCCTGATCCTCAGGGGACACACTGTGGATAGTACCAAAATTGCAGAGAGTACCGAACCTGACTGTCATCAGCTGGAACACGTTTCTGTTCATATCTTCAACAAACTTAATGTCTTTTCCGTCTTAACTAAGCACTCATCACACACTGTGGCTGTAATTCTTGTAGTCTGAGAAGCAACAGCAAAACTAGCACTCATTTCTTTTTCCTTGTTCACAATTTCATGCATAGAAGTTTGGTTCTCACCATAGATCTCAGCAATCTCAGTATATGATTTTTTTTCCTTTCCTTATTAAGTAGAGAACTTTTACCATTTTGCTTAAAGAAAACTCTTTTCTGCTTCTTTTTAGTGTAT